CAGAGAGTTGCATTGCATGCCAGCCTTAGGATAATTATATACATAAGGGATAGTATACTGTACCCGCATTGACCGAGCTGCCTATGATGTAATGAAAATCGCATACAATTTTCGTTGCTGATCGAAGCTGGATTCATTGAACCCAACGTCGTCGATTATTACTCTTATAAAAATTACAACACTGTATATAAAAAACAAACTAACACTGCGGTTGCGGTCGACGTTGAACTGCTGAGAACGACAACACAAGAATGAAATCGAAAACATCTTAAAAAATGTCAGTCGGCGTCAGTGAGACCAAGTTTCCACAGAGGTTCAACCTCGGTTCAACCTAGGTTAAAAGCGGTTTTTGTTAGGTTATTTCCGGACAGTACTGTACATGCGTGTAAATTTAAAATTACTTAAACCATCGCCTATATTTACATAACATCCTGGCTAGCGCAATAACCGTGCATTGCAAGAAATTGTAATAAAATTGACCTTCACGTGGCACTAATGTGGGATGATGAAGGTTTAATAAAAATAATATTTAACAAATATTCAATATTCAACAAATATTTGTGAACATCACGAAATAAAACACCCGAGACTAAGTGTAGAAATTTTTTAGTTTAAAATGTAGTATGTTGTAGAAAATCAGTATATCTTTTACAAATGTAAACAAATATCACTGCGATTTAAATAAAACGATGTAGTTTTTTTAACAGATACAGCGTGGTTTTTTAACTTTTAGCTACAGTATTTTCTTTAAAATTGATCGAATTCTTCTTCTGTCACTTTGACAAAAAACAAGTAGCAATCCGAATTCGTTCGACCAATCAGAGGTCAGAATTTTCAATGATAACTTTTGTAATTATACGTATATACAGTAAAAAACTGTCAGCGAACATTTAACACGTTTTAGTAAAAAAATGAAGTAGTTAACGTTAAATTGCTAACACTATTGACAAAACGATAGCAAAATCAGCTCGCAGCTGGGTGATACAGGGAAATAATTAGTCACGCATTGCGAGAAAAGGAACAATGACCTGGCAGGAAAGTTTTCAAAACGTTTGAACACACAAGTTTGGCACAGCTAGCGCTGGCGATAAGTTGCGATCAAGATGAATGACATAGATTAAAATTATGTGGATGTGATCCTGACTTCCAGAGTCAAGCTCAACTGACATAATCAAATAATCTAAATCTATTTCAAATGCCTAGCTTTAAAAAAGCACCGAACACCTTATCAAAGTTCTGTCGTCGACAAATCATGTATAATATTATGATGCAGGAATGCATGGGTCCAGCGCTAGTGCACTAATTTGCATGACACAAAAAAACTGTTAAAAATACTGAATCGCTTTGTTTTGTGATGCAAATTAGCGCAGATCGACAGAAGTTTAAAAATATAATTAAATGCATTGAATCGATAGATACCGTTTATACTCATACTTAGCTTTCCTTAAAGGTCAATGTATTGAGACAATTGGCAGAAATTTTGCCATTCAGCTTTGTACTATGGGTAAATTACCGATAACACGCAACGGCACTTGCTGCAAATATGGCTGCCAGTGAATTTTTTACTATTTCTGCCGTTTTAATGTTAATAGTACGTATTTTGTTGGCTCTTAAAGATTGGTATAAATTAATGAATTTATTTTAGATGAATTTTTATCTCCGCAAATTCCAAATTCGTAGTGAAATAGGTCACACGGCAGAGAGCATAAAAGCAATGATGTAATGAGAAATAACAAATACACGCAATATCACGCAATAAACAATTACTTGCCAGCAAGATGGCTAACTTTGGACTCGTGATAAACAACGGAGATGGACATCTATGATTCGTTTGTCTTGTCTAATGATGTAATTAGACATCGCATACAACTTTCGTTGCATCTTGAAGATAGTGTTTCATTGCCCCACACGTCGTTGATTACTACTTTTAAAGATTTTTTCCCCCTCTTTTGTTGTTTTATAGGTACTGCATGCATTTTAAAAATTATCGATTTCTTTGTCTGCCACTTTGACAAAAAAAACTGCCACCATTTTCAAAAATCCGCTTATATGTGATTATCACGTAGTAATCGCGGAGATTATCACGTGATATATAGGAATCGTTCAACCAATGGGAGGTCAGAATTTTCAAATTAAAAGTAATTAAAGTAGTGAACGTTGAATTGCCAACACTTTTGACTAAAATTTTACAAACATCAGATCGCAGCTGGTTGATATTCATGCAGGGATATAATTGGTCACGCAGGGCGAGAAAAGGAATGCCTGGCAAGAAAATTTTGAAAACGATTAACCTTTAGCACTGCTGGCGATAAAGTGCAATCTAGATGAATGACATAAAATTATGTAGATGTGATCCTAATCTTCTAAAAATACCCGAGTCATGTTCAATGTGATAAATATATTACTTTAATTATACAATTAAATTTTCGTTTTGATTAAGAGTCCTGTGCTTTTTTAAATCTATAGCTTATGAAAAAGATAGATATTTAAAATCTAAACGAATTTAAACTATTTTGAGTATGTCAACGAACATTTAACATATCCTTATAGTGAGAATAGTAAACGATAACTTGCCAACACTATGCACAGAGCCTTATCAACAGCTGACATCAGCTGCCATAGAACTGGTCACGCAATACCAGCAATATTTAAGGACGCTGTGATCTTGAGAACTGTCACTTGAGCTCCTAAATTTGTGAAAAGCAATACTGAGGGCACTTGGTCGAACTGAAGTCAGAAGACAGAGAGTAATCTAAGGTGAATTTGATTTAAAATATATAAAATCTAACCATGCACGTAAAGGTTAACCAGTTTATCTACGTTTTACTCCGAGTTGTAGACACTATAAGTAGCCCATGCGCCGTTACAAATCAGCAGCGCGTAGAACCCTAGTAGCATGATCCCGCGGAAATCATTAGCTAAGAACTGCAATTCGTAATAAGCAGATTTCAAATTTGGTAGGCAAAAATATTCATGGATGCTCAATGAAAAAATATATCCGGTTGCATTAAGGATTTGAAGCTTGCACACGTTAAAAACGCATTGTCTGAATTAACCTTGTGTTTACTTTGGTCTTTAAGCCTCAAAAGGGCATTTCACAGCTGTTAGATGACCTGTCAAAAGACTGCAGAATGCGTATTCAGAAAAACTTTTTGACTAATTTAATATAGTTTTTTTCTTTGAGAGCGATACAGGAATGCTCAATTGGGATCGAGGGATTAGATTTTCAGGTTGAAACTTTATAGACACAATTTCTGCGGTGTTACACAGTAGCGCAGGATACAGCTAAAATCGATATCTACGGACTGCGGAATCCTATGTCCAATATACTTAAGCGAAAGTTTGCGTTTGTTTTTCTAAAAACCAGGGAAAGTGAATTTTAGTAGAACGAATGAAAAGTTTGATTGTTTTGTTTGTCACTATTAGGGTTGGTGAGTTTGCATGGTTGCATAATTAAATCGGAGAAATACAATTTGCAAACAAACTTTAATTCGTATTTCACTAATTTCGGGGTGAACGTTTTAGCTTTTACCAAAATAGCCTGAAGGTACACTAACAAGCATTAATTCAACTTCTTATTTTGCTACACGATACTTTGCCAACTGTTTCTGCAAAAGCCTATATATCAAAACCTTATCTTATCTGATTGATAATTGGTCATGCACGCACATGCGCAAAACAACGATATCCAATGGCCTTATACGATCCGAAACATCTTGAGAACAGTTCAAATGAACTTCTACATTTGTAAGAAAGAGAACCGGGTAGTGAAGGTTGTGTAAAAGTTAGTCGAAAAAAGAAGTCAGAAAATAGAAAATTACGATACGCCAGGTATAACAAGTTGTGTATATAACGTATTTTAACTTTAGTAAACATTTTCGGGTTTTTTGTATGTCTTTTGTCGAGAATACGGATAATTTTTTCGTCATAATCGTTAATTTCTTGATTTCAAACAAACAACAACACTATTCCCGCCATTTTCTTTATACCACGCGTTTTTCCGCAAATTAATATTTACCAGTAAATATATGAAAAAATCAGCCGCTGCAGCGAATACGGATGACGTTAGCGCGATACGGAGAACAAATTCATGATGTACGTGGCAGAAATCTAGCTTTCTCATTGGACAATTTGAATTTGAGGTATAATATTTCATATTATATTTTATATTAATATTCATGTTTTGTAAACTTACACTCTGATTGGTCGATTTGTACCACGTGAGTGAATGTTATATAGCAACAACCTCACGGCAGTGCCGTGATAGGATTTATTGCACTAGCAAAAATGCAAAATGGCGGAAACAAACAAAAAAATTGCCGAATTTAGTGAAGAGGAAATTAGTGTAATTATAGATGAAACCACACCTGAAAATACTAAACGGGCAACCCTTGGGGTTTTTCTGTATTTAAAGTTAAGCATGTGTTGTTTAGTTAAGTTTAAAAATGATGTAAAGTCTTTCAAGTTTACTAAAAATGAATATTAAGGTAGAAAAAAAACACTTTAATTATACTACGGTGTTCATCGGGTACGTTACATCCGGCGTAAAAGTTTCGACTATATTTAAAAGGGTACGTGATGAAAGTTTTTTGGGTCTGGGACTCATTACTCTCTTATTTCTGATCATAAATCATTGTTTATGTCTAATGTGACATGTCAGCATTGAATTTGTAGTTCGGTTTACCTGCAAACATCATTATAGTTATAAAAATATATAGTTTTTAAATTTAATCTATTGATGAATGAATAAGATTTCCACATAGTCAGATCACGAAAATGCTTGTTTTAAATCAATATGAGCACTAAAATTTGAGAGAACGAATGCAGAGTTCGTAATTGAAAATATAAGATCCATATCTTGATTTTTATCCATCTTTTCATTCTTATTTTTTGCGTATTGAATATTATAATTTTCCCTTCAACAGTGAATTTTCCGCATGCGTTTCGGCATACATGAATATATACTACTCATTTCCCAGGGTTAAGATCTGCAATCCGTAATGGAGTTGACAAACAACACAACTGCTGTAAGTAATCCTACAAATCTAGCAAATATGTCAACAGCTGATGACTGGATGATTGAAAGGGATGAATTTTGGAAACGGTTAGATTTCGTACAACAACTCTTAACAATTTTGATCGCTGTCTTCACAATTCTTGGAAATTCTTTGGTGATATTTGTGACATGGAAAGAAAAATGTCTTCATCAACCGAATAAGTACTTTATTGTTTTACTGGCTGTCGCTGATCTACTCGTTGGGTTGTTTGTGGCTCCATTCCTCGCTTATCAATTAGGCGTTGAATTTGAGAGGAGTGAAAGTAGTATGTCGGTTCATCTTTGTCGTTTCATGTTGTGGATAGACACCTTTGCGCTAACAACATCTATTTATTCGCTGACATTTATCAGTTTTGATCGGTATCTCAAAATCAGCGGACCACTTTTGTACAAATCACGAATGACCACTTCCAGATCAACGAGGATCATTTCCGTCATTGTTCTTATCTCGGCTGCTTTCGCCTCCTACTCTGCCACACCTCAGTCAAGAAGTTATGGAATCATGGACACCGGGTCTGGCTCTTGCAATCTTCACACTGACTTCGAAAAATCCGCAACATATTATCTTATGCTAACAATAATTGCTTTTTTTCTACCTGCTGTAGTCATCCTGATTATGTACGCTTTCATTTTTCTCGTCGCTCATAAACGAAACAAAAGGCTAGAGAGGGGGGAACTGGGTCAAACAGTCATCAATCATCGTCAAAGAAATGCATTACGTCGAGATATGAAAGTGATCAAAATGCTGCTGGTTGTCGTTGGATCTTTTATATTTTGCTGGGGTCCTTGGTTTACTTGGACATTGATGTTTTATTACTATCCAAATATTGTTGAATGGGATAGCACTTCATTAAGTTACTGGTCCAGATTAATCATATTCGTTTTTATAGCCAGCACACTTCCATTATTTAACAGTTTGTGCAATCCAATAATCTACGTGTGTCTCGACGAAACATACAGAGAAGCTTTCAGACAACTTTTCCGTCGACAAGACGGAAGAAGACAACAGCCATCAACAGAAATGCGATCATCGACGTCCACGACAACTATATAAAACAGTTACATGAAGTAATCATGAGGTGGTCCTTATCTGAAATTTCAACATAAGTAAGACAGGAAGCAAATTCTTGTACAAAATAAGACTTCCAATACATATTCTGTATATAATTTTAACACATGTAATATAATAATTTATTATCATGTCGCAAAAGCTTAACTTGACTTACTTTAGTATAGATTGTAGATAAAGCGTGCATGAACGCGAAGCTGCAATTACGAATTATTATAATTATAAGCCAGCATGTACAAAGCATTGTTCATACAAAAATTTGAAAAGGCTCAGTTACAAAAAATATATAGTAAAAAGAATAAGTAGGGCGGGGATGCTGGTCAAGTAATTTTTTGAGGTATTAAAGCAGATGTCCTCTGTGTTGGAACTTACAAAAATTACAAAAGAATGAACAAATCGCCGTGTAATACATAAAATCTATAATTGTTGAAGTATCGTGGATAAGTTCAAAATGTAAAACAGAATTATATCTATTTATTGAATAACTAAGCTGAAATATTTCGATGAAAATAGTTTAACTCTTTTCTGTACTCGAGGTTCTACCATTTTCCGGACGTTCTGTTTACACTAGGTTATCTTAGCAAGTATTTACCCTATGAATACTCAGAAGGTTTCATTTGAAAGCTTAAAGTATGATCTTTCATCTGATGTATTTGTTTTTGCAATTCATAACTATCGCCGTCCGGATTGAACATAATCCCAAAATTACATGCGACCGCATCGTTAAAAATTGCGAAGAACAGTCACACGTTTGGCTGAAAATCAACTAACATACGTCGTCTGAATGATTTTTACCGGTAAAATCGATTTCCGGGGCATCTGGTTTCCTAGGATACACCAGTGAACTCTAAAAAGACTGGAACGATAACTTGGCCGCCATCTTTGAAGCCAGCACTGATGGCCGCCATGAAGGCCAAGAGTTAAAATAACACCACCAAAACAACGCCGATTTTTATACACAAATCCATCTCATCTGATCATGAAGAAGAGCTTAAAACAAGCATTGACACTTAGATTTTACTAAAAAACAAGTTTTATGAACGTGAAAAGGTGCAAACCTATTTTTTTTGCGAGTTGAAGGCGAAGTTTTTTTTCGGCCCGTTCAAATTCTTTAAATATTTCAATACAAAGCTGGTACCTCGCCGGTTTTTACAGTAAGATGACGCGGATTACTTCGGTCTATCGAAAAAGGGTAAATTCGTTGTTTAAAGTTGAAGTGGTCAAATAAAAATTGCACTTTTCTGCCAAAAAATACGATTTTTACGGAATTCTCACTCTCCCCAGTTCTTTTGAAGGCTTGATTTGCTCGCGCGGCTCCCGCCTTAATCAGCAAATTATATTCAAATCGGCTTCAAGTGGGCTTCATCCAATGACTAGTCTTTATTGTTGAGTTATCGTTCCAGTCTTATTAGAGTTCACTGGGATACACATATCAAAACATACAGCCCGAAAGACGCCCGAAAGACGCCCGAAGGAGATTTCCGCCCGACCGAGTGTTTGCGCAAATTCCCACATTTAAGGAAAAATATGTACTTCTGGCGTATGATATTTAGTACAAAAATAGAGCAGAATTTTATAAACAAAATGGTGGGCGAACAGTCGCTTTTGGCTGAAAAGAAACGAAGATACAACGCTACAAAGATAAGGCATTGCATCATACTTTCCACAATGCATCTTTGAGATTGAGTGAGACATTTATTTGTTGAAATATTGCGATAACTCGCCTAAAACGCGATGAAAATTTACAAAATCAACACAAAAGTAAGATTATGATATTTAGTATTCAGTTGTAGAATTTTCATGTCCCAAATATTCGTTTTGCCCAAGTTTTTTAATTCGCACAAGCTAGCACAGGACTTTATTTAAATTCACGTATTATTCAAATGTTTGCATACTTTAACAAATAAGAGCGATCAATACTTCTTATTACCAATGATTATAATTCACATCTAATGGTTGTTTATAGTAAATATAATAATTATAGTGGGGTGTTCAGTCCCCTGTCCTCCGTGAATTATTGATTGCATACAACATTAATACTACTATATATTCTTGAAAAAATTGTTCTTCAAATGTTCAGATTAAATTAATAGACGATAGCATGAGAAATTAGCAAAGCCATTAATAAAAAATATGCACTGAACAGAAGCCTCTCGTCTGCAGAGTCGGAAGGTGGGCCACCGCGGTCAGGGGGCTTGGTGCAGAATTTCTGTTTGCTTTGAGTAAGACACAAGGCATGGTCCATAACATGGAATATGTAGTTCTGTTCAACCACGCCATGGAAGAGATGGGCGAACGGTCCAGTTGCATAGATGCCTTAAAATGTAAAGAAAATAGCAATAAAAACAGCGCAGTTTTTGCCTGAACGTTTGGCGTTTTTATGTAAAAAATATATATAAAGACATACAATTATTAAAATCACTGTCCAAGTTGCTCTCTATTTATTTCCTTGGTTAATGGTTCCCATTAACTTGTTGCATGGCTCATTTCTTCCCATGCCCGGCAAAAAAATTTCAAGTATCGCGAAAGAATGCAAAAAGAATGAATAGTATAATATTAGCTTTTAGTTTAAAAAGATGATGCGAAAATTTTTTTTTTTTAAATGCCTAGCATGCACGCAATTAATACGAAATCAACTCATGTATACGTCATTCTTGTTTATTTCACGCGTAAATTCATGCTTTATTCCATAAGTATATACCTTCTAAGCACGGCGTCTGAAACGATCATACGATCACTTCGACATTTTACGATTACTAAAACCAATCCTGAGACGATGTCTACGCAGTAGCGTAGCCAGCCTGACAATTTGTCCTATTATGCTAATATTTTGGTGTTCATTGACTGCGAAAACAATGAATTTCTAAAGATATAAATAATTATAATAACTCCAAATTTACATAGCGGAACAAAATCGTCAGGCTGGCTACGCCACTCTGTCTACGCAGCAAGGGAAAACGTTGTTTTTTAAAGTAGGGGAATAGAAAAATTGCCCGTGTATTGTGTTTTTGAGATGGCGTGGTTTAACAATATTCACTATTTTGTTTACTTTCCCTGCGCTCTCCCCACTTATATAATTTTATAGCCATGAAGTGACTTTAGCTGCATGTGCTCTATACCTACCAACATCTTCCCCTGCATGGCTCTCTTTACTTCCATAAATCAGTGCTTGTTGGAGAAATTCGGTTGCGTTATAATCGGCCCCAGTAAGATTTTCTCGGGACTGATTTGCGAATTTCAACCCGCCAGGGCCGTCAGAGTAGGCCAGGGTCAGGCCCGGTTTGCCATCCGGGAAATTTCTAGTTTGAAAACCAAGGATTGGGTTACCACGGATTGCCTTGCCGTACATGACGAATGAATGTGAGTGGTCAGCGGTCACGATCATCAAGGTTTTATCTAATATGTAAGGAACGGAAAATTGTGAATGTCTAGCCTCAATTCCTCTCTATCTAGTAATAAGATTACGCGTGCATCCATATTTTACAAAATTAATGTTATATCTGAAGGGTATAAATTCCGCTTGATTTTCCATCGACAGAAAACGTAGGTGATGCATATCGGGTGACTAGTTTGCATTAGATGTTCATTCTCATACTAACCGACTTCTGTTAATTCTTTCGCCTTCTTCACAGCATTTGCAAAAACAACGGTTTGTGAGAGGGAAATTTTAGCCAATCCAGCATGGTGTGCCCAGTCGATTTCCCCGCCTGAGAATATATTAGTTTTTATTATATTATATGGTAAGCGTCACTTCCGGTGAAATGGAGCTCAGTGATTGGGTGAGAAGAAGGGACATGTCGCAGCTATCGAAAGCTTTCGTCCAATTGGAGAATGCTTTTCCATGCTTTCTAAAGAACGAAGCTATGCTATTGGTTGAAACAGAAATGTATTGTGAAGTTCAGCCAATGAAAATCATTCTTACGAGGAGTTGCGACACTACCCGAGAAGAATTTTCAGAGGTCCATTACTTTCCCGTAACGGACTGGCACTTTCTCCTAAGGGAGCAGTGTTACCGCCGATCCTTTACGAGATGAAAAACAGAGAAATTCTGAATGAAAAAGGCAAAAATAAATGCTCAAGAGAAAATTTAATTGCTTTTGAAATAAATAAGACGTCTCCAGACAGTTTAGGTAAACTAAATAATCCAATATTTTGTTTTTGTTTTTATCAAATGCGTAATAGGCTACTAATACAAATTCTTTTTTTTGTGTGTTTCAAGTGCAAATACATGCCTTATGTCATATAATAAACTTTTACGGGCTCGGTCCGTAGAGAAAGACCTCAGTCCGATATTTCTCGGTAAAGACCGAGCAAGCGAGGTTAATAAGAAGTTAGTAACTCAGCTTTACAAATCAGTTTACCGTTTAAAATTTGTTGGAATCAGGTCTAAATTATAAGGCCGAATTTTCATGCATTTTTACAAGCCATTGCTATATAAATAAAATCAATAGTTTCGATACACATAAAAATCTGTTTTGTCTTCGTAATTAGCAATTTACATGCAATAATAACATTGGCAGAAAGTTGGCTTGAAGAAAAAACTCTGAATGCTCTAACCTCGTTTAAATGACTATAACTAATACATATTTTTGTATAACAATGTATTTGTTACCTTCGACAAGAAGAAAGAATCCTTTTGGGTTCTTCTTTAAAATTTGTAAAGCTTTTTCAACCATTTCCACCATGGTTGGTTCAAAAGTTCTGTTCATTTTCTCCCGAAGAATATTATATGTCATACCGCTGGATGAAAACAATCCTGGCCATAAAGAGACATGTGAACAGTAATGAGTAAAAAGGAGTAAAAATGTGTAAAATGAAGCACGAATAAAGGTAGCAAAGCATTCGGTAAATAGAATTAATTCAGAATTCTTGCGGTTATATGTGCCACCATGAAAGTTTAGCCTGTGAACCTGCACAGTCTTTAAAAAAAAACTACTCGATTAACTAAAAGAATTCAAGGTGCAAACTCGTATCAGGAAGGTTTATTGGTTCTAAAATTAGGTTCTAATGGGGAATTAATAAGCTAAAGAAGCTGATTTCGTAAAACAATAGGACTTGAAGTTTCCTACTAGGTTTCAGAGGCGAGGAACCGAACCAAACGCTCACCAAGTAAATGATCAACTTTTTCCGTATCAACATTCTTCAGTTGGGTTCTGTTAGTAACATAGGCAGAATTGTTATACTTTTCCACCCATTCCTTCGTTAGATCTTTTCCATCCAAGCGGCAATTTGAGTCGTTTAGCAGCTGGCCATCGGGCGCTACTGTTTCACATTTGTAAAAACTTCTCCAACCACCGCCAAGGACGACTTCGATACCATCACCGTAGGGATAGTCTATCAATTGTTTTGCTTTGAAAAAATAATGGTAACATGACTTATTTCATCACCTAACTTCGTCTAGTCATTTCTATTATTCTATTATTATTTCTATTCTTGGTGAATGTTTTATATAGTCTGTTAAAAAAACGGCAATCTATATGGGCTGCAAGCAACTAGAGCCAATGCAGTGCTTTATCAATATCAGACAACAGCGCGTATATGTGCTGAAGATAACAAAAATAATAGAGAAGATATAGGAAAGTAGAACCGGTACATGCTTCATACTTACATATGTCGGCACAGTCCCCTTGTGCTGCTTGATCATTTTCCCATCTGCGCGATGGCGTATGACTGTAGAACGCTCCCGGTGTTGCATGGGTAATACGAGTATCCGTGATCAATCCGGTACTCATTCCCGCCATTTCCGCATAAGTTAAAATCGAAAGGACTTCGTTTCCCTTAGCACTATTGCAGTCTCCAAATATCGCTTTTTCGTTTAGACCTAGAAGGCCTGAAAATATATTCAAAAAAATACAAAATATCGAATTCAGGAATAGCGATGCCATTTTGACTCACGATACATTATGTATTTTTAAGCATTTTCAATTTAAAGCAATTCATTGCCATATACAGTTCCTATAAAATAATTTTGAAAAACTATTATAAAATTTTAGGTAAAAAAAATATTTTATTTTTTTTCCATTAGCCTAAATTATTATGTTTTTCGTGTTTTCCTTGTTTTATACAAAATTGCCTGCTATTTACGGATATAAAACAGATGTCAGATTTGCCAGTGTATACCTGATTAATTTGATAGCCCCCTAAAAAGTCTCAATCACCTCCTAATAACAATAAGTGGGAAGTGACTAGAGATTATCGAATTTTAAATACCCATGTGAACCGTGAACATCGGCGGCAAAGCAGTTAAAAGGTCTGCTCACACGATCAAATTTTGTTGGATCCAATTCACTTCTGATGTATGGAATAAGTCGGCTATTGATGAAGCTACAGTGGATTGGCTTCAGTGGATTTGCTGCTGATGTACATTCCAAGACAATAGACAATAAACTATACATCAGAATTGAATTGAGTCTAACAAAATTGGATCGTGTGAACAGACAGACCTAAAGCAAGCTAACCTTCATCAGTTTTCACACCGCAACCAAAAGCTGTGGCAGTACCAGCTGAATCAGGAATCTGGGCATCTACATTGTAGGTCTTAGATATCGCCGTATACGGCCATTTTTCCCAATCCATAACATTCTGTTCCCCCTGTTCACCTCGACTTTGACCTTCAAAAATTCTCGCCGCTGTTGTTGTACTGATTCCCATACCGTCACCTTATGTTAGTTTAAACCGAATAAATATGAATATCCACACCCGACATAATTGAAACATGTAGCAAAAGTTGAAATGGCCGAGGGCGTGGTTAATGTATGGCCAAGGCACAAATAATAGTCGTTTATGCATATGTACATAATACACATACATGCTTGCTTCTATGGATATTTGCGTCTCAATAACTTAACTACTTGTATTTCTGGCCAAAACTGTTAACATCAAAGCATTATGAACAATGTCATCGGTTAAAGCATTGCTATATATAGTCGCATCATGCACGGCATTTTGATCCGAGGCACAAAATAATTTAAATTCTCATACCTAAGAAGAGTATTACATTCTTAGCAGGCTTTGTATTCGGTTTTAGATTCAAATTCTTCCTGGTTAAATCATTTCCATCCTTGAACCACTGATTGTTCACCTGATCGCTGTAGATTTTGTTTGCGGGAGTACAGGAAATAACTGTAATTGAAATCGACCTCTATTTATATCCGCGGAATAACGTTGGGTGTTGACCGAGCAGAAGACTTTAACACATAACACAGGGGGGAGAGGTCTAATACTTATAAGATAATGGATATTTTAAAAGGTATTGGTGCAAGCGAACTGTAACAACTATGAGCTTATTCGAGACAGTTAACTTGCATTATTGCATACAAGAAAGATTGTTGACATACATCGGCACTAATATGTTTAGTTATAATAAAATTATAATGTATCATAACAAACAGAGAGGACGAGCAGAAAAAAAACTGCACAAATTTTTCTTTTTTCATTTTAACTCATATAACTATCATAATTGCAATTTTGGAACCAAGGAATATGCAGATAGGTCTAGAATAATCCAGGCCAGTGTCTGTTTTGAATAAATAATACATGTATGTTTTACTCGCATGCTGAGACTTTGGTATTTGTTTCCAGATCAGCTGATCATAAAATTAATGAAAACGAAACTCGAGCGTATATAGTTTAGTCAAGGGCAACTTCGACTTTACTTTCACTTTGTGAAACCAGCGGTTTAGTGCGGGCTACTTAAACTAAGCTTGATTAATTTTTTTTAGCGCTAGGTTATAATTTCTGGTCATGCAATAATTAGTGAAGTTTTAGAAAATGTCGTATAGCTCTGTGCGCGGTACTTAGCATGGGCATCATGTTTAAAGCATTGATTTTGGTAAACTGGTTTAATTTTAAAAAATGATCAGGAATTAAATCGTTAGTAGGAAGTTGAGACACAATCGGAAGACGGAAATAAGAAGTGAACTCCAACCTCATGTCGCGATCTTCATTTGCATCTAAATTAAAGTTTTTTAGATATCAGAGTAATTATTCTTCTTAGCTTTGCTTGCCCACTTGTTTTGATGTAGTAAGTGTTTTTTTTGCGGTAGCATCCGTTTTCATCACTTTTTTGATGCAACGATAAGAGAAACTTCATATTATAGTTTTAGGCAATTAGAAAACGTGGCTATTTCGAGGTAAACGGTGTTTTAATATGATATCGTGCATGCTTTATTTAAAATAACATCAGGCACTTCTGCAAATATACTAGAATTATCGATAGAGACATATTTTAGTAATTAATATTATAATATTATAGCATTTCAAGAACGTTAATTGCGAAAACATCTCATATACATAGCTCCCCATGCAGTCCAAATATTTCGCAGTGATGATATGATCCGATAAATTATATAAAAATGAGGATATACATGCATTGACTGATCTAGTTATTTTAACTGAAAAGTCTGTCAGATATCTTCATCATATCTCATAAAAGGCATGCAGTAAAGCTTCAATCATAGTTACTGTAGCAAAGAAACTTGTTATGTATACTATTTAATCGATATAGATAAGTTCTAATAAAACCAAGGAATAGCGTAGCAGCGTCTTCAAACAACTTAGCATCAACTGTGCATGGTATAACAAATGCCTAAATAGACAAAACACTTCTCGATGTTTCGACCTGAGGGCTCTCACGTCGAAACGTCGAGAAGCGTTTTGTCTATTTAGGCATTTGTTATTTCATCGATATAGCTACGAGTATAATGGAAAGAAATTGTAGGGATAGTTTTAAAAATAAATATTTTTCTGAAATATTTATTCAATTATTTAGGGCGCATCTGTTAAAGGGTAACGCGAGCTTATTTCAGATTGCTTATAGCAATTGTACTTTATTATAGACATCGTTACGTCTTTCCATTCCACCGAATCTTGCATTTCAAGTTAAGAAAAACTAACCAAGTACTGTACGCTTATTCAGTGCTTTGAGAGTCAATAAAGAACTATTTGAACGGAAATGGAATGAGTAATTGTATGCAATCACGATCCCTGCAACATATATGCAACATGCATATATATACACCACCAGCACCACCAGCACCAAAAATGTTACTATAACGGGTGTTTACGAAAATACATGTACGAGAGAATCTGATCCGAAACCTAACTGAAATTTGTTAACTTACATTTAATCGCAATTAGGAAGCAGACCAACCAAATCATCTCACGCATCTCAATCATCTCACGCACTTCAGAACTTTTCGCGTTGGTGTTCCTTCTAAAAATGATACCTTAAAGATGATTTGCGCCTTATACTCAGGCTGTTTCCACTTTGATACGTATACTTCCGATGTGTCGAAATCAACTTCACAATTTCATAATCTATACTCAATGTTGATTTATGGCGGAAATGTCACAGCGTGTCTTGGAAAGGTTTGAGCAGCATGATGTTCTTGGATACCCAAAGGGTAGTGTGGTAGTGTCTTCCAACAATTTCGCATCAAATTTGGTATCACAACTGTCTGAAATTGACAAAGACCCTGTCCACACGTATCCGGAAATTTTTAAATTTTTTTTACCGTTTTTAAAAAAATTCGCGTCCACACGAAGCGTATTCGAGTCGTTTTTGTCCATCCACGCGTAAACGCTAAAACGAAGGGAATTTGATAGGGTAAGGCGTAGAGCATGCGCATTTCCAAGTAATACGAGCGCTCCCAAACGATCGCAGGGCTCGAATGGCAATAATTTATGCGCGCCTAGATATCAATTAAATTATTAAATGACCCAAATTTTCGTGGTCTAGCTGGTGAGACGGGAACCAACTTTATCATATTTATTCCCTTTATAAAATACTCTCCGTGCAGGTTTGGCATAGTAACATGAAGCTGAATGCATGCTATTAGACTCAGGGCCGTAGCTAGACCGCTTAATTGGGGGGGTGTATATTCATATATTCATGTTTATATACCATAGGAACAATAGCATACAAAAGAAATCATTCGGGCATAAGACGAATATATGAATATGCACCCCCCCAATTAAGCTTCTAGCTACGGCCCTGATTAGACTTGAAATTATCCAAAGTAAAACAACGAGACAATTTTAGTTCACCGTCTTGAAGAGATACAAAACACGCGCCGTTAATGGTTCGATTTAGATTGGATCCGATTATAATCCTCATCGAAATCGAAAACCTCTGTTTTCGCCCGTCCTCAGGAAAATACGAAAGCGGCGTTTTCGAAAAACTCCACTTTGGAGAGCGTTTTGGGAAACCTCGTGGGGACACAAGGCGAAAAAGGATAAAAAAACCCTCATATTTTTATAGTCATAATTTTTATACGCTGAACTTACATAACATACATAACCTACATAACCTACAGTACATGCATGAAATATATATATAGACACCTACCTACATAAAATTTATGCGGATAGACGCAACATTCAGGGGCCAGTTTTATCAAGCCCATTTAGCTTAAACGGTGGTTAAGTTCAAAATAGAAAGCAAGTCTATTGTTTTATTCAAGAAGCGAAATAAATGATTTTAACTTTAATACAAAAATAATGTTTACAACTACAAAATTGTATTCAGTGCATAATATTCAAGTTGACTCATTCAAGTGAGACGCCCATCTCAGGCCATATTTTGAACAACTCGCATATTTTCGGTCGTTTTTATGACCATATATTTATATACTAAACATTTCTGTAATATATCTACGCTTCTTATCAAACGGATTTTCAACTTGATAGATATTTAGCTTTCTAATGATATGATGCCTTTCTTACGTCATGATCATATAATTATGGTGATTGAAAAAGAACTTTTCCAATCGAATACAAAACGATGAAAATTTTAATTCATCATTATAACTTGATATGTGTATGCGCCTGCATTCTGCAATCGTTAAACCAACTTCAACGATTGAAGAATGCAGTTTAGATCAGCAATTTACTCCTCGTTCTGGCTATGTCTATGGTTACGAATTCGTGCGACTCCCTGTAGATACTGTCATAGTAATGAGTTTTAATAAGGCTATTATCTAATTTCTAGTCTTTAGCTACCAAAACATGCCTAAACAGATTTTCCACTTCAAAATCATAACCCTATAATCATTATGGAGCAATCATAACGGACATCTAATGTATTTTGTCTTTATTAATATCGCAATGCTGCCTACAAAAACATTTCAGAAGTTTATCAAAGAAATTCCGAAACGATTTGTCTTCCTAAAATTCATTTAGAATACAACATGCAGAAGTGAAGATCTTTGCTTACAATTTCCGGCAGCAATTTTTCCTTCTGATAAGAACTCCTTGGGTATGATTCCCTGTAGACACTGTCATAGTAACGAGTGTTAATGAGGCTATTATCTAATTTCTCGTCTTTTACTACCAAAACATGCCTAAACAGATTTTCCACTTCAAAATCATAACCCTATAATTACTATGGAAGCAATCATAACGGACATCTAATGTATTTTGTCTTTATATTAATATCGCAATGCTGCCTACAAAAACATTTCAGAAGTTTATCAAAAAAACTCCGAAACAACTTGTCTTCCTAAAATTCATTTAGAATAAAACATGCGCAGAAGTGAAGATCTTTGTTAAACAATTTCCGGCAGCAATTTTTCCTTCTGATAAGAACTCCGGCCTAGTAATCTGTTTATTATATACTGCTGCTTATTATTTACGGACTGCTCGTCAACCAAAATAGATGATTTTGAAAAGCCGTATAATAAATATGATTATTTCATCCCTTTGCGATATATAAGGGCCGTTACTTAACTCTCCAATGATACCAACAGCAGGAAATGATGAAATATTTTCAATAGTAAAAGCAATAATGAAATCAAACTCATGCAGTGCCCGCGATTAAAGGCAACACGAACTTTAATTAATTACGGCAGGTTAAAGTCGCAATTGTTTTTGAGACAAGTACAGCCTCATACCCAAGCGCTTTAAATAGCTATAAACATAAGCACACTCCAGGCTTTTGCATAGATCAGTTGCTAAGCTGAGAGAGCGCACAGGGAATTTTGCACTGATTTATGTAAAAGCCTGTAGTGTGCCTATATTTATATATAGTCATTTAAAACGCCTGTATGAGGCTGTTGAGACACCCTGTATATCAAGATTTACGTCTATTAAAAAGATTTAAAGGGATTTATTTTGGATGTAAATTAGAATTTTTATAACAAAAAATTTGAAACTATTCCTATGTGAGCGGCACATTACTTATTTGAGACATTATTTAAAGAGATTTAACATTAAAATTAGAGACCTCTCTAATCGCTTAGCATGCAGGTTATCCGTTTCCTTGACCTATATCAACTATTATTGGGACATTAAGTACAACGTAAAATCCTGTTGCTTTCTGGACGAACTATGTGTATTCTCTAAATGTTTGGATTAAGTTCATGAGTAATAGCTTGAGAAATCAGCAATGTAGTAAACACAAAATATGCGTTGAATATAGACCTTTCGCTGGCAGATTTCATGGGACCACCGCGGACAGGGGGCTTGGTGCAGAACTTCTGCTTGCTTTGAGTAAGACACAAGGCATGGTCCATAACATGAAATATGTAGTTCTGTTCAACCACGCCATGGAAGAGATGGGCAAACGGTCCTGTTGCATAGATGCCTTAAAATAGAAGAGAAATAGTAATAAAGTATTTAATTTTAATTTAATTTATAATAATTTGTCACATTTTAAACAAAACAAACAACTGCATATATAAGGGCACATAACAAGACAGACAATACTCTGACAGGAGAAAGGAACAGGACTTTAGTCCCAATTGACACCTAATATGATAATAATAATATATCATAATAAGTACGAAGCTTCAGGAGTTGTTCCGACGACGTCTCTATTTAGACATTACAATTAGTTGTATACAACTATCATTATCATTCGAGTGACGAAGGCAAAAAAGTTAAAAACCTTTGCTACGATCTTTCTCATTTTGATCAGGGCAAAACTTGAACTGTTACGTTTGCATACGTTTACATGTGTACATCAGTGAACTCAAATAAGACTGAATGCTCACTCTGTCGGAATTTTGAAGCGAAGATCGCGGACACTGAAGCCTTTCTTGTAGGTATAATCCAGGCCTCTGGCGCGGAAAGTTCGTAGGTAAAATGGCGGCAATTATGATTTTCTTTGGAAATTTCCACGCAAGAAGCCTGGATCATACGTACAAGAAAGGCTTCATGATCTGCCAACTTGGCTTCACTTGTTAATGAGGAAAAGTCAGAGAGTGAGCATTTAAAGTTTATTTGAGTTCACTGGTACACATACGCCTGAGCAAAATTCGTGTACGACGAATCTCATAGTGTAACTGGATCGACGAATCGCATAGTGTAACAAACGAGTAAAACAATGATTGGCTTCTTTTTTCGGTAATCTGGCAACCCAGAATATCTCGTGCTTAAGGCACCATTATTTTGATTTAACTGATAAACCACCGTCTAACTTGAGATTCTAGAGTTCCTTATTCGGCTTTAAAATGATGGCGAGGTAATAGCCACCAGTTATAGCCTTCCAGTGTTTAAAAAGTTCATTTTTCTATACGTACCAACATCTTCGCCTGCGTGGCTCTCACTGCTGGTATAAATCAACGCTTGTTGGCGAAATGAATCTGCATTATAATCGACCCCAGTAAGATTTGCTCGACCTTGATTCGGATTTTTTAGACCCCCAGGGCCGTTAGCATAGGCTAGGGTTAGGCCAGGTTTGCCATCTGGGAACGTTGATGACTGAAAGCCCAGGATGGGGTTACCACGGTCTGCATACCCATAGACGACGAATGAGTGCGAGTGGTCAGCGGTCACAATCAATAAAGTTTCATCTAGGATATAAGAAACGTGAGGTTTTAAGGGCCGGGCAAAAAAAAGTTTTAGTCATTAGAGAAATCATTTTGCAAAATGGAGTAGCACAATACATTGAAAGAATAGCACGAGGGAACAAGGAGAAATTTCGTTTTAGACCAATCAGGAAGTTTGTTTACATTTTCAGTAACCCAATTGCGCATAACTTCCGGTAAAAGGTACATTATTTACCATTTTACACAAAGTATTAAAAATTTAGGCATTCTGATTCCCCCGATTAAAGCAAACGAAACTCCCCCGATTTGCACGAGAGCGTGTTGTTTCAACTTTAAAGCGAACAAAATTTGTTTGATAATTTGCTATAATGTTTGTATCATATTTCCTTAAGTCAGAGCCGTAGATAGAAGCTTAATTGGGGGTGTTTTTCCATATATTCGTCTTATGCCCGACTGATTTCTCTTCTACGCTATTGTTCCTATGATATATAAACATGATTATATGAATAATACATCCCCTAATTAAGCGGTCTAGCGACGGAACTTCTTTAATTATATGACGAGTCTATGGTTTTTCACCATATTACCAGGATAGTTAGCCTGATGGTGGTAAGGAGCGAGTGCAAGAACTGAATGAAGACAAGCTATCCCAAAATCGTTTCTTTATTTACGTTTGCTCTTCTCTTGTACTCACCTGCTTTTGTTAATTCTTTTGCTTTCTCGACGGCTTCGGCAAAAAGAACGGCTTCTGAGAGTGAGATCTTAGCATATCCGTCATGATGTGCCCAGTCGATTTCCCCACCTGAAAATACATTTGTTTTAACGCACACATAAGCTATTTTCGAGTGTGAATTTTGTTATTAAACCTAGTTTTCGGCGGGTCTAAGAATACAATATACAAAATTCGAGGAAAAAAGATTCATGAGCATATGTGCACGTTTTCTGCTTCACTTTTGTTGTGACAGGAATTGGATAGGCACCCTTCATAACATACTACTACATATTAGTAACAACTAATACATTAATCTATCAATTTTTACATTGTATTTATCACCTTCGACAAGAAGAAAGAATCCTTTCGGGTTTTTCTTTAAAATCTGCAAAGCTTTCTCCACCATCTCCAACATTGTTGGTTCAAACGTTCTATTCTGTTTTTCCCGAAGAAGATCGTAGGTCAAACCAGTGCTTGAAAACAAACCTTGTCGGAAAGAAACATGTTGACATTATTGAGCACAAAGCAAGAACAAATTGCGTGTGCTGCTTACAATACCTTGAGGTGAAGAAGCGTATAAAAGTCTTTTTTGAGGGTCTGGCTTTTTAAATGCATTTAAAGACTGTGGAAACTTGACATTTCTTCATTTTTTAAAGGTCGAATTGAACTTTATACTTAATCTAAGCACTGACCGAGTAAATGATCAACTTTGTCTGGATCCACATTCTTCAATTGAGTTTTGTTAGTGACATAGGCAGCGTTGTCATACTTTTTTACCCATTCCTTAGTTAGATCTTTTCCATCCAAGCGGCAATTTGAGTCGCTTAGCAGCTTGCCATCAGGTGCTACTGTTTCACATTTGTAAAAACTTCTCCAACCACCACCAAGGACGACTTCGATACCATCACCGTAGGGATAGTCTATCAGTTGTTTTGCTTTGAAAGAATAATATAATATTTTTATCATGTAAGTTCGGCGACTTTGATACCATCACCGTAGTGATAGTCAGTGTATGTTGTGAAAGAATGATGTAGTTTTTCGGAGGTAATCTTTTTCGACCCAAATAGTGGAATGAGTAGAAAAGAAATCGTCAACTTGCAATGTAAATCTACTTTTTAGCGATTCAAATTAGTGTGAGATTCAAGTTAGAAACGTTCATAGAAATTTGGAGTGCAACAATCACAAACGTTTCGTAGTTTACATCTCTGAGAAGTAAAGTTGTATTGCAAGTCACATTAAAACCTATACCGTGTAATAGGGCCTTAACTGTTAACAGTTCACACGCCTTACTTACATATATCTACACAGTCTCCCTGGGCCTTTTGATCATTCTCCCATTGGCGTGATGGTGTATGGCTGTAGAATGCTCCCGGTGTTGCATGGGTAACACGAGTATCCGTAATCAAACCAGTACTCATTCCCGCCATTTCCGCATAGGTTAATATGGAGAGGACTTCGTTCCCTTTAGCACTTTTGCAGTCTGCGAATTTTGCTTTCTCGTTCAATCCTAAAATACCTGAAAGTGCGATTCCGTAGGTAATATAGGCTCAATAAGCGTAATATAGATGGCAGCATAAATTTTAAGGCAATTTAATTTGGTAAAATGGATGACATATACATAACATGACAGTCTTTGACTTTGTAAATACATAGTTTACATTCCTTAAATGAGGACAATTTTTTCACATTGAACCATTATCAATCAAAATAAAACAAGGTAATCTTACCTGCATCGGTTTTTACGCCACAAGCAAAAGCCGTAGCAGTCCCGGCTGAATCGGGAATCTGGGCATCAGTATTGTAAGTCTTTGATAACGCCGTATACGGCCATTTTTCCCAACTCAAAACATTCTCTTCTCCGTTTTCACTTCGACTTTGACCATCAAAAATTCTTGCAGCTGTTGTTGTACTGATTCCCATGCCGTCACCTTAAGATTGTGTGAAATAATTCTTTAGGAAATTTGTTTCATTAATATTTACTACCATTTAAACTTATAAGCTTTCTCTTCTAAGGAGGTCTGAAGAAGCTGTGATGCACGATGATAATAATTTAATGTGGCAAACATCAACACGACAAAATAAATACCGAAATTCATCATTCACATTTATCAAAAGCCAAACTCCAAGGAGGGCGTAGATACAGGCGGATCCAGGGTAAGGCTGAACGTGTTCTACGACTCTAATTTATTCAAACTTACTCTTTTGAAATACATATACAAACAAGTCTATATCCAACAGTCGATCTAGTCAGTGCCATTGGTGCACAAGGCAACGTTGTTCAAAAATGGTTCCATACGATTTCTTAAGGCTGTTTTACACGGTGCAATTTTTCTTGCAACTTGCAATGCTATTCTATTTTAAAGCGATGTAAATTAGTAAAGAGTTCTCAAAATGTAAGTGTAAGAAACGCCATGGAGTGTAATAAAGTCAAAAATGCGGTAGTAGCCAAATTTACATACCTCAAAAGAACTATTGCATTGCAAATTGCAAGAAAAATTGCACCGTGTAACAGGGCCTTTAGGTAATGTTGCCGGATGCACAAGATGCAATTAATTGTAAGGAGGCGGGCATAAAAGCTATTGCTGGGTGGGCTAGTTTTCTTCGCTGGAAGGGTCTCTATTTCTACTGTTTTCTGAACGTTATAACTTTAGAAAACCATAGCAGCTTTAATGACTTGATCAAAAAGGAGGCACAGCTGTTTTTGGATGTACCACGTATATTTTTTGGAGTATAAATCCATGAACATGTATAATAGCCCATTTTGGAAGATTGGCTTTGCTATATCACATGCAGTGAATGAATGGACACTTTTTTATACCTAAGAAGAGGATTACATTCTTTGCAGGCTTTGTGTTCGGTTCTAGATTTACATTCTTTTTGGTTAGATCAATTCCATCCTTGAACCACTTGTTGTTCGCCTGATTGCTGTAAATGTTGTCAGCTGGAGCACAGAAGATGCCTAAATTGAAATAAATATGCTCTTTAACACGGCTTTTAATAAGGGTAAACATGTGGGGTTCTATCTTTCTTCTTGTACCGTGGGTAGGCTGGGTAAGAGGTGTAACATGAAGCTTCACATAACGGAACGGTCGCCAATGTTGAATGACATCCTACTGATTCGCTCCCCAAAATAAATCACCCAAAAATAGCCTTTTATAATTAACCGTTTAAATTTTAACATCAGCTTTGCCTTGATTTCATGCGCATTGCCGTTATTTATTATTTTATTGTTTTCACATGTTCCCTAATTATTTCAATATGGACAAAGTTATTTCTTCATAATTCTGAACGCTGAAAAACTCATGCAACGAACGCGCGTATAGAGTTCTGGACACACAAAATATATGGCAACATGTGCAGACTGTAAAGACACAAAATATATGGCAACATGTGCAGACTGCAAATGTAAAGACATGTGTTTATAAAATAACATGCATATAACGCGTGTTCTGATTGGTCGAAGTCCTTGCTTGGATCAGGCCATCCAAACACGGAAATTTAAAGTTAAGAATTTAAATTCAAATTCAGGCCTTGTCGTTGTTATTTTATCGTTGTTATTTACTTGCCTTCGGCTCTTGTTTCGCGCGCTTTTCTTAACTCTCGCAACATTCCTGCGTGTTTGGATAAATAATATTAATTACTCCGGCTACCGTAGGTACGCCGGAGTCTTAAAACACCAGCGGCCGGAAGTTTTGGGCGTCACAAATGCGACCTACGTTCATGGAGTTAACCGCTTTTTTCCTCGAACGGTTCACGGGCTCACGCCAAAATGGTCATGGATTATAAAGGGTTTAAATTTTGGGTTTTCCACTAAAGACTGCGACTGTTTTCCTTAGCATTAGCACTCGTAGTGCGTCGGGTTTTACTTGTAGGATTTTAGCACAATCAGTCGTTAGATCATTGGTGAATATTGTAGCTTCGCAGGTTTGCATCATATACAGTAACTTCGATTTTAATATACTGTATACAGGCTGTGCCTGTTTATTAACTTGATATTTTGTGGAAGATAAACCAACTGAACAAGCTTTAACAATGTGTGGAAATTTTACATTGGAACTCTAAGCCATTAAAACTCTACAGATGTCACGTATCATTGTTGTCTCCGTTTTATAGCTTATCTATTAAAATAATATTGGCCCTCAAGAAAGAACAATATTGCTCTCAGGCATCACAAACCCCTGCCCGGTCTCGTTATTTTGACGGACGCATGTATATGGTACGCCACCTGTGCCGTAGCCGGAGTGTACGCCTGCCCAGGCGTCTTGTTGTATATTAAAACATTAAACCTCAAAGGTCGTACCCGGAACAATGAAGATAAATTCTTTAACATCTCCGGAATGTGCCCCCTTGTTATTTTTGAAGGTCTAGTTCAGACATGTAACAAGCTCGTGTTGCGAACCTCATAATTTAAAACAGAGAAGGTTTATACGGAAATTCTATAAGACAATTCAAGAATAAGCAAATTATAATTCCGCTATAAACAAATGCGTGCTCGATATTCGACTTTCGTATAATACGCAGTAATAGAATAGTTATATGATGCAATTTTGATTGTGAATCAGCACAATTGTTGACGTTATATTAATATTGCTTAAACTTTGCTGAAAGTTTCGTTCATAGCGGCGCCGCCATTCCAGCATTAGCGAGTTTAAGATTTACCAAATCTACGACGCGGACGTGAAGTAATACGTACTGCTCTAATTTCCACAGCTTCCCATCAGAGATGGAAATTATAGACTCTTTTTCATAAACGAAGTCAGAGCCGTAAGTTTCCCCACATCTGAAATTCGCTATTGATAGGTCGGGGGGGAACATATGGTCGGGGGGAACATATGGTCGGGGGGGGGGCATTTTCACAAATATTCATAGATCGGATGTTCACTGAATAAATAATGTTGAACACAGTTGAATAAAACAAATGATTCAAAGAATTCTACATTAGAGTATGAGCAGATTTCAAACCTAATTATGTGAGGCAGTCTATTGGGCTGATTAGGATTAAAAAGCATTATTAGCCTCTACACCTCTCACGGAATTGACTACGGATCGTAAGCTCGTGATTTAAGATCACGTTCGTTCAAATTGTTAATTGAAAATGTAATTTATCTGTATAGAATTCATAAAAAATGTAATCGTATGTATTTAGTTTTTACTGACCCTTTTTCGCCTGCAGATTGTGGTTATTTGAGGCAATTAGTCCGCTTGCATGTATACATGTGTGTGGGAAGGTGTTTATATGTGAATATTTGATTAATGATCATCAGCTTTTACTAAACGAAAGGCACGAAAAGTTGCTTCATCGTCACCTTTTAAGCAATATTTTAAACGAATTCATTTTAATTAACATGTAGATATCTTTTACCTACTAATATCGAAATTTTTGGATATCGAAATATCCAAATTTTTTGTCGTTTTTTTTATAATTTATAAATGCTAAATTCAATCTCTTCGCGTCAAATTCACACCGTTCCTAAAATACAAAAATAAATAAATTTACATTCTGCCGCAGCTAGGATGCATACAAACCAGAGTATCGCCATTCTATAAAATATCCTTCAGTCTTAACCTCGTATCCTTCCGTCTTAATCTTGTGTCAGTTGTGTGCGGTCGAGTGATGCCTTACAGCAGACCAGCAAACCCCCGATTCTGCGAGTTTTATTGCGTTTTGCCGCTTCTCTGGATAAAAGAATATTGTTTTTCTGGAACTGAACCCTTTAAACTGGACTATCATTGTGACTCTTATTATAATTTTGAAGGAGGTTAATTATTCATATTTCAAGATAAAGTTTAGCCTCCTCCGCAGGCATCTTTTATGTATTTATATTAGCCATTCATATTTGGCTTGGGTTAGCTGTGTCGGGGAGTGAAAAAATCCTCGCCTTCCCCGACACAGCTAACCCAAGCCAAATATAAATGCCTAATATAAATACAGAGATGCCTGCGGAGGAGGCTAGATAAAGTTGAATATTTAATTGTCATTTTTACTGCCGAAAATACCTAAGTCACGCAACTGACTGGACTTACCCTAGATCCGTCGCTGGATGTACAGGGATACCGGGAAATTTTCCGGTGCGCCCTTGATTTACATGCCGTTTGACGCCAAGTTTAACGGCCATGCAAGATTTGTTACTGTTTCACGCCCAAACATGGAAATAAAATCGCAGTTATAGTTATACATTTGCATGACGACAAATGATGTAAAATTAGGGATAAATCAGAAAATAGCATTTTGCAATTCTTGTTTTGGTTGATTATAGCAAAATTTAATGTGAGCTAAACTGATCCTGTATTTTGAAACATGACATTGTAGCGGTGAAATTTTAAACTCGACATGGCAGCACACGCATTTTCAATAACTATTGTTCATGTTGGAGCTACAAATGGCACCCCTTTTTAAGTTTTTCTGATAAATCATGTATAGGCCATTCCATCATGGAATTATAGAAAAAGTTCTGTTAAGCTTGTAATTTTCCGACTTTAACTTCGCAGCCTCTGCATTTGTATCGTATGTTTGTGCGATATAATCGTATGTAAATGTATCACGGGAAAGAATACTTTATTTTCTGTCTTCCTTCTTCTCCATAGATTTATCCTTTAAATAGTAGTATCGTTTAGCTAATAACTCGAGACTATATTTGGGATTATTAAGGCATTTCATTAATTGAGTAATCCGTAATGCACTAAACTTAAAACCATTTAAATTTTAGTTGATTGCGAAAATAATATCTTACAAAATCGATTTTCCCGCAGAACAGTAAAGTTATTAATATCTGAGTCGGGCGACTTGTTTTTCGGTTGCATGGAAAGCGTAACTTTTTTATCATAAAAAAGTAATATGATTTCCTTCCTAATTCACTCGCCAAAACAATTCAACGAAAAATAGCCTTTGATGATCAACCGCCTAAATTTCAATATCAGTTTTGCCTTCATTTGATGCGCATTGACATTATCTATTTATTGTTTTCACAGGAAGCCTAATTATTGCAACACGGGACGCAAACTTATTTCTTCATTTTGAACGCTGAAAAATTCATGCAATGAACCCGCGTATAGAGTTCTGGACATTCAAAGTATAGGGCAACATGTGCAGACTGCAAATGTTAAGACATGTGTTTAAATCATTAAACCTCAAAGTTCGTACCCGGAACACTAAAGATAATTCTAAAACATCTCCGGAATGTGCCCCATTGAAGGTCCATGAGTTGAAGGTCTAGTTCAGATATGTAACACACTCGTGTTGCGAAACTCATAATTTAGACAAAACAGAGAAGGAAGTTCTTTGAAGACGATTCAAGAATTAGCAAATTATCTTTCCGCAATAAACAAATACGCGTGCTCGCTCCGCCAAAACACGATATTCGAGTTTCGTATAATACGCTGTAATATAAACGTTACGATGCAATTTTGAGTGTCTATCAGCGTGTATAAGCATATTAGACTTATCCTCAAGGAAAATTTCGTTTATGAGTACTCATTGCCGGCGCCACTCCAGCATTGACAGGCCGGAGAGGGGAGGTGAGGGGGTATATTCACAGATATTCATATATTCCTGTCAACCATAACCACAACCGTGACCCTAATCCCCAATAATCAATTCTATTTCTCACCAGGCCAAAGATGTTGCTTCGCATAGTTTGGTTTCAAATCTGCTCATACTTTAATAGAGAATTCTTTGAACCATTCCATTACTAGAAATTTGGGACATTTTGCGTCCGCGTTCGTGGGCAGCGTCCGCTTCTTGGCCCAAGGAATTGGTGAAAATTTCATAAAATGGCTCGATGGTATAATTATGCAATTATAATTATGCTTCAAATGTATATGGCCGAATGCTTAACACACTGAAGAATCATGAAATTTCAAACGCTGTGGGAACCGTGGCGGTAAAAAATACGAAGATATTTATGAGTTATATCGGTAGCTATATCACAACCAAAGACATTTCCAACTCCGAACTTTGCATCGTCCAAAAGGAAAGTGGTGTATTTGACCAGATTGTAGAGCATGTTTACCGATATTACTATGGTTTATATAGCCGAATCATTCAAATTGGACTTGTATATAAATCGCACTCAGGAACCTAGAGGATTTGCTAGTGAGTGAATATTTTTTGTTATAACTCTTCCTTTCTGAACGATTTACAGAATTCGAACTCCGAACCAAGAAAAAAACACACATAGGAAGCGTAATTTAAAGTTTTGTGATTAAGCCATATTGTTTCGCATGAAATTTGGCCGCCATGTTTGTTTTTATCCGAATGCAAGACGCCATCTTGTCCCAAATTTCTGGTAATGCGTTAATCAGTTAAACGTTTACTTGATTGCGCTATCTATGCTTACACTGAGATAGGAAGATCAACCAGCTTACATGCATTGCTGTAATCACATTGGCGTCAACGACGCAGTCTTCGAGAAAAAAATTGCGGCGTCGCCAGGGTATATAAGTAGAGGGGACGTTTTATTTAGTCGTGCTCTATATTATTCAGTAACCCTAACCACGAAATTGAATATTGGGAAGAGCGTGATTTAAGATCACGTTCGTTCAAATTGTTAATTAAGAATGTAATTCATCTGTCTAGAATTCATAGAATATTTTAATCGTATATATTTAGTTTTTACTGACACTTTTTCTCCTGCAGATTGTGCTTATTTGAGGCAAGTCCGCCTGCATGTATAGCTACATGTGTGGGGCAGGTGTTTATATGTGAATTTTTGATTAATGATCATCATAGACTTTACAAAACGAAAGGCACGAAAAGTTGTATCATCGCCAACTTTTACGCAATATTAAATGAATTCATTTCAGTTAAGATATCTATTACCCACTAATATCGATTTCCATCGTAAATTTTCTTTTCATCGTCGTTTTTATTATATAACATGCAAAGTTCAATCGCTTCGCGTCAAATTCACGCCGTTCCCAAAATACAAAATGAAATAAACTTACATTCTGCCGCTGCTAGGATGCATACAAACCAGAGTATCGCCATGCTATAAAATATCCTTCAGTCTTAACCTCGTATCCTGCCGTCTAAATGTTGTGTGCGGTCGAGTGATGCCTTACAGCAGACCTGCCACCTGCACAACATATTAAGGCCGTTTCTTGTTTCAAATGACTTGTAAGAAAATATTTATTTTGTTACATGTTACACGATTGGTTAATATTCGTGGGACGCTAAATTGTTGCCTGAAAACACATATATTACCGGAAACACACAAACTTAGGTGTAGATAAAAGGCCGGCGAGGACTAGCGGACGCGGGGACCCGCGGACTCGGACGGGCGGACGAGGCCTGGCGGACGGGCAGTCGCGGACTGGCAGACGGGAAACGGTTATGTTATCATATTATTATATAAAAATAATAGTGTTATTTATGAATATATTATATTATATTAAACTTCCTAAGTACATGGAATGGTTACGACGCCGCAAAAAGTACATGAACTTAACAACGCTGTTCACTTTTAACTTCAGCAAAGGTGTAGGGCGAAAGGAAAATAAAGCTTCCACATGTCGACGAAAGAGAGGACGAGGAAGAAAAGTACAACCGTAGTTGTGGACACGCTCACAAATCAAGAACAACAACGACAACGCAACAATGGCACTTGGTTTCTCCAATCCGTTCTTTGAGACATATGTATTGTATCTTTTGCAATTTTGTCCACTCCAGTGAATTCGAAGAAATGCTTTGGATATGGGCAACTGCTAAAACCCGGAGGGAACATTAGGGCACCCCCTTGGGATTTAGTGATTGTGTCTTATGCGAATAGAACCTATAATGATGGAAACGGGGAGTTAAAAGAAACTCCCGCGAACTGTTTACTATACCACGTAAAAAGCGGGTGCTCAAAGAAAAGACAGCCATATTTTGCACCCTCTCTTGTGCAAATACCATAGGAATTAGAGCTTGCCTGTCACCAGAGTACATAGAAAATTTAAAAAATCGTGGATTTAAAATACTAATAAATGATAATAAATCATAATCACTAATAACGCAATGAAATTTAATATGATATTATAACCGTTTAACCAGTCCGTGTCCGCCAGTCCATGTCCGCCAGTCCGCGTCCGCGTGTCCACTATTCCGCCAGTCCGTGCCCGCCTTTTATCTACACCCGCAAACTTCCAACCGAACCAGAGCCGGCAAGCTCACAATGCATGTGATATATACGGACGGATCGGAGAACGAGCTCTGAAACACTATGCCGGATGATTTTGCAATTAACTTATCCACCGTTTAAACGCCTTCCTAACAATCGACCCTGTCTGAGTAGTTCTTCTCTTTGTAATTTGCCGATTTTAACTTCGCAGTCTTTGTTTTGTATCGTATGTAATGTAAATGCATCAAGAAAAAGTGGCAGTAAAAACTAAATATATACGATTACATATTTTATAAAATTCTATACAGATAAAATACATTTTCAATTTGAACGAACTTGATCTTAAATCACGCGCTTCCCAATAACCAATTTCGCGAGAAGGAAAGAATACTTGTTTCAACTACGAATATATTTTTCTCCTTTCCCTCTCCATAGATTTTTTGAATAAAAAACTAAACTTTAAACTGTCTGAATTCAGTTAAATGCGAAAAAAATATTTTACAATTCGATTTTCCCGCGCAACAGTGTCAGTGGCCTTATCTGGCCGGTTTGTTTTTATATTACATGCCGTTTGTTTTCGTTCTAATTTGCTCGCTGAAACAAATCGTTGACAAACAGCCTTCTAACCGCTTAAATTTCATCATAAGCTTTGCCTCCATTTGCCGCATTGACATTATCTAGCCGTTTTTTGTTTTCACAGGCGTCCTAACTATGTCAATACATGCAGTGCGTAAAGTTACATCTTCAGTAAATAGATCCCTTAAACGCTGAAAAATACTCCTGCAGTGAGTTCCGTACAGAAAAAGGCACGAAAAGTTGCATCATCGTCAACTTTTAAGCAATATTAAACGAATTCATTTTAATTGAAATAGATATCTATTACCCACTAATATCGTTTTCATCCTAAATTTCCATCGTAAACTTTTTGTCGTTTTTATTATATAACACGCTAAATACAAAAATAAATGAATTAATAAACTTACGTTCTGTCGCAGCTAGGATGCATACAAACCAGAGTATCGCCATCCTATAAAATATCCTTCAGTCTTAACTTTGTATCCTTCCGTCTTAATCTTGTGTGCGCGGTCGAGTCTAGGTCGAGTGATGCCTTAAGCAGACCGGCGCCACATATTAGGCCGTTTGTTATTTCAATTATGTAACAAAATACATTGATTGGTTAATATTCTCGTGGGACGCTAAATGGTTGCCTGCCCCCGAGGAAATAGCTATTTCGACACGCAGATTACGGGAAGCACGCAAACTTTAATTTCAACCCATTTACAACCTGCGCCGGCAAGCACGCAATGCATGCGATACATACGAATTACAGAACGAGCTTTGAAACAATATGGATCATTTTGCAATTTATTCAGAATAACCTGTACAAACACAGCGCTTTAGGGGCGGTAAGCGCACGATATTTTGAACGCATTATAATATTTTTTAGAAGCCAAGAGGATAGAAGAATTATGCATTTTCGAATGATGTACAATATTTTTTAAGAAGCAATGCGACAAACATAAGTACGCGCATGCAATTTGGAAAAAAATATTGGCTGACTTTATGTCTGTTGCTATATAATTCAAGGCAATATTGAATCTTGACTTCAATGACTTGATTAATGTATTGTTTGCTAACGTCCACAACTCTATCTTATTTCACAAAGGTCATTGGGACCGCCAACATATATTACGATTAATTCCATACAATTTACAAAAAGATAAATCAGAAGTAAATGTAATTTCCTTAAATTCCACACACTAGGGATTTACGGTTGTCAACATGTACAACCGGAGATTAGATCCGAAATAGCAGAAGATAAAAGGTAGTCGACACTAGTAAAACAAAGGTTTTTACACGCTAGAAAAACGCCAAAAACGAGGCCGTCGACAACGACGCCGTTTAAGCTAAACGGGCTTGATACAACCGGCCCCAGGTCTCTGGAGGCTCTTACAGTATCTGAGTATGATTAAAATACTTTGCATATTTGCAGTGACGTCTTCATGTTATGTCTTTGTTGTTATCAAAACAAAAAAGATGTCCATTTATTTATGCAAATAGAATTTCAGCAGTTAGCCATATGGATTGAGTAACATCTCTGATATAATTGAGCATGGCCTCTTTCGCGCTATATAGGTTAATTTTAGCAAAATTAAGAGTAAAGCCTGTTTTCCACTTGGCGAATTTATTCGCGCGGACAGATAAAAAGTAGGAAGCAATTCTACTTTTCCGAGGCGAATTTTTTCGCAAACCAATCACATCACCGGATCTCAGACATAGCTTCGCGTCACGCGAATAAATCCGCCTGGTGCAAAGCGGGCTAAGGCCGGTTTTCCACTAGCGACATATTTCGTGCAAAGCGACATTCTACTTTTGTTTCAGAGCTCTCAACTGCAATCATCTGGAAAAAATTGCAAAAAGTACAAAAGAATAAAGTCGTTTCGCGCGAAGAATAATGCTGGTGGAAAACCAGCTTTAAATCACTGTACTGTACTGACGAGGGAATCGTATATATAAGGCGATCAAATATCGTCTAAATGGACTTGTGCAATGTGCGTGTCAAGTATTATTTACAATTGCAAAAATGTATTTAGATTTGGGACACTTATTTAAAATAACATTGGTGTGCATTTGTGCATGTAAACATTCAACAGTACGTGTTACAAATGTTTTATAGAAGCCTGTAAGTTCGTGCTTGCTCTAGCTATCGAAAAAAAAGCATGATTTGAAAAACAACAAAAACCTAAGCGAATTTTCAACTCCGTCGCTGACGCCGGAGTAAAAAGGTGCATGAAAAAAAAGAAGAAACTTTGAACGTGTGGAAATGACGAAAGGTTATCTTTATCCCAGCACACCAACGTGGTGCGACGCACGTTCGCCATGCATGGCCACCAATCCAGTCTATCTTAAAAGTTTGTGAATATCTTTAATATTCGAATTTGTATGGGGACTTGCTTTTACTAAAAACGTACTAAAGATGTCTGTATAAAACACCAGTGATTTTCAAAAAATATATTAGGGTAGCAGTAGCACTCTACGGTGATTTATCACGACACAAATTACGTGAGACCTAATAGCTCTTTCTACTTAAAATAATAAAAATTGACTGGTTTTATAAAGAATAACAAAAGATAGAATTGTTGAAATACTGCAGAATCATATTGTCGACTGTATACTACATTTTAATTAAAACTATTGTTTCTAAACAAAGAACGTCAATTGTCAATATAAATATGTATCACCAAGCCTTTGGTTGAGGTAATCGAGAGCTGTGACAGGCGGATATTTATTCGAACCATCCAAGCATTCAACCATCGTCGTGTTTTCAGGAAGAACAAAGAATGCGGCTGATTGTCTTGACTTTAAACGAAGTAACTCATCTTGTGGGACAACAACGCGGTGTCTCTGAAAAAGAAAATACGATGCTAAAATCTAATTGATTACTGGCTATGGTCTTTTAAGCAATAAAATTGCAAGAGAAATCGAAATCCCGTTTTTTTTATCAAAGTATTGGTAATTGTCGTGAACATGTCAAGCTCCTTATCGATGTTGCAAAAAGTCAAAAGGTTGTTTTGGGACTTGCACTTGCACAAAAAACGAATAGGACTAGATCTAGAGCTTTGATCTGAAGAAACCAATTTTCATTATTCCACGTAAAAAATTCATGTCATTTCGTCCATTGATGACTTAATTCCTGCTGTTACTTCCAGATCAGTGATTATTACTTCCAATATATTGCAATCATCTCAACCACAGCGACGGATTAACCTTTCCTGGGCCGGGGAAAGACTTTTTAAACGGGCCGATCACAGCTCTTATATGATCACCACGTTTAATAAACCTTATAGAATGCTCGAAGGAAACGATTAACTATCTTCCTCTTGATTTTTTGGGCCAGTGAAAACCTAGGGCTGGGGAAAACTGCCCCCTTAGCCCCTTCGGAAGTGGGTAACTGTTCCCTTAACCCCTTCGGTATCCGGGACTGCTCAGGCACGAAGCCAGAACCTGATATCGCAGTGACTGATATATTATTGACTATGGTAAGTACTCCATGCATGAATACATTTAAGCACATTTAAGTGAAAAGCCTTTCAGCGTAATACACCAGCAGTAAAGTTGCATAAAAGCAAAAAATATATATCTCGAAACTTGTAACTTGGCATAACCATCCGAAAAGCTTGAACATTGTTAACCAATATTTCATGTCTGTGATTAACCAATATCTTTTCCTTGAAATAGCGAACCAATAAATCAACTATTAAGTCATATGCAACGTCTTACTCACCGTGGACACTAATTTATCATTGGTCCATCGTTGTAACAAGTCTCCAATGTTCACCAAGATCGTTTCCTCAATTGGACGCGCTGGCACAAAGCCTTCTTTTTGGCTGAAAACCTTAAATGTAATTTCACTATTGACTTCATTCGATTGATACTTTTGCACCATCTTTTTGTCTATGTGACATAGGTTCTCAGTCTACACGGAAACCTACCTCAAGTCCACCGATTTGATCTTGGAAAAGCAATGTAATGGTGCCATAATCAGAATGTTGCCCCAGGCGTATTTGTCCTGCCTCTAAATCAGCGTTGAAAGGATAATAAAGAAGACGAAGCGAGGTCTTATTGTCTGGTGTGCCAAATTTTCCATGAGTTTTTCTGAAAATTTTTCTGTCCTGAAAAAACCATGCAAAATAAGCTAACATTAGCGAAACATTCTTATATACAACTGTTCTTGTTCAAAGAACCATTTGATACAATATTAAAGCACCATAGATGTTTGATGCTCACAATGCATTGTGGTGTATTCTAAACGATCATGATGCCAGCCATGTTTATAAATCCAATTTTAATTCCGTTACCTTTATTAATCACTTACATCTAATTTTAATCCATGGGCAATCAAATCTAAAATTCCATGGGATAATTTTTCGCAGCACTGGAAAAAATCCTTCGTGATTTCTTGGAAGTCCGAGCAGTTACCAGTTGGCCAAGGTATATCATCATCGTAAGGTCTCACTATATCAAAAGCTTCTTTCAAGTCATACGGTTCATCGGGATCAACACTGAAATGAAATGATAAATTTTAGGATAGCTTGCCCTTATTGTGATAGTGGTTCAGGTACTGCTATTCGCCCCTTAGTCCCGGGTTCATTTCTCCCGCCGGGACTAAGGTTTTTCAGATTTCCGGCCCCGCACTGGGAAGTCGGCTGGGTGATTAAGATGATGTTATTACCTATGTACTAGGGGGGGGGGGCTATTGTATAAATATCACTAGCACCTTTCAGCAAATTCGAATACTGATTGAATAGATTATTAGTGCTGGTGCTGATAAGATTTTAACATAGAAAAAGTCCTTACTTCAGAAAGTTCGTTTGTCGAAGCGATAAAGGAAACGTTTTTCTTGACCTTTAAATTATTTGGTCGTGAGAATCTGAAAAGTTCCTTCCGAAAATTTTTATCCCGCAGAAAGTATACGCCTGCTTTGTAAGAATTTATTAAGTCAACAGGTAGCTGTCACTACCACACATATGGCGGATGGAAAGGAGTGGAGAGATCGCAGAACAAGAGCATGGGACCTACTTGATCAGAGCGCAAGAGACTCTTTTTCTACTTTGTGTTTGCCAAATAATAAGATTTGAAATAGCCTCCTAGGAGCAGGCTAGATTTGAAGAATAATTAATAAAATTCACTCCATGTCACTGAACTCACAGCGTAAATGGAGTCATGTTGGAGTGAGAAATTTAAAACATTAAATTTTACAAAAAGGGTCCAAATCAATGAAATCATGGTACAAATGAATCGAAATCATCCGAGATAAAACCAAGCGTAGTTTACAGGTAGGTATATGAGTATATATGTTTACTGGAATGAGAATAAAATGCAACTAGATTAAGGTAAAATTTCCAAGGTTTTTCCAATATTTCATCATATTTCATTTAAACAGTACAAGAAACATTGTGTGCTTGCAAGAGAGAGGTTAATTTTTTATCACCTTGATATGGCCGGAACTACAATCTCAATTCTCAATTGTTTGGCATTGGGAAAAGATCAAACCTAAGCCTTCTTTTTTGATCATGGCTTACTAATTACTAAACCAAAACAGCATGACTTGAGTAGCAAAGGATTTCGTTTTATACTAATTAGCATATTTGTTGACATTTTTTAGGCAAAGCTAACCAGAATGCCTAATGCTGATTGATCAAAAAGGAAGTTCACCCTTATTGTTTTATATTTCCCTATGTTGCCAATTTTCTCTCTGCAAGTATTAAAGTTGCTTTAAAATTTTAAGGGGGAGTGTTGCTTCTTCTGCATATCGGTTCTGCTCATAACAATGAATAGTCCACCTGCTTCAAAAATACTCAAATTTGGCATGTTTTGTATATATTTTTAGCATAAACTCTTCTCATGCTCATTTAAAAACAGAGCAAACTTAAAGCATGTCAAATATTCTAAAAGATCTTGATGTTTTAGGAAATATATGGGTGTTTACATTAAAGACTGTACACCATTGGTAACATAAAGTATGCAACAAAAATATAAATTTGTTGGCAGTTAAATATAAATTTGTTAGCATTTTTGTTACAATTGTTGTAGTTAATTATTGTACTAACATCTCCCTTCCTGCAGCCATCCATCCATGATAATTTGTCACACTGAATTCTGTGGCAAATGGCTGTTTGGTTTTTGTTGGCAACTTGAAAAATCTTTCAGCAACCTCAAATAATTTTGTCACCTACAAAAAAATATAAAAATATAAATAAAACACTGGTTAATGGCCCTGAGGAGTTGCCTCTGCTAATTATATCTTTGCATGTCAATGTTAACACCAGATGGTCATTATTACTAAATAATAAAATAATATTTGATGCCATTTCTGCGTCTTGGCAAATTTCTGCCTTCCAAGGGCAATGATTTTTTCTGGGGAGGAGGGTCTCAATAAATACAATTTCTGTGCTTTCAGTCTTGTAGCCAGAAGTTTAGCAATAATTAATAATTTTTTTTAGCAATAATTATACAATGCCTTGTTACAATGCCATGTAATTAAAAATGTGTTCTCCTGTGGATCTGCAAATCCACATGTATGTGTAGGTTTTCATGTGATTGTTAAGGTATAATGAACATGCTCTTTTTTAAAACTCAGCCTCCACTGCAGTGACTGCTAATCTGCTATAAATGCCTCATTGTAAGAATTGGGATAGATAATTAATTGCAAGCAATAAACTTCTCAACGAGTGTCTGCCTCAATAATATGTATCACATGTTACAGCAGAGTATACACAATCTACTGCAAAGTAATTAACTTCATATAAATAGATTTAACTAGTATTTAATGAAGTTACAGGCTTATATTGAGGATACTTTGGAAATCCTACTAATAATGTTTACATGGTTAGGGTTATTTATAGAGTCCTGGTTTTGGAACTAGTTACTGCACTTTTATGACACTGTTACTGAGTCCTTATTACCATTTGGGTTCAAGGACGAAGCATATGAACTAATCTCTATGCCTATGGACTATATCCTAGAGGTTCAAAGGGTCTATTTCTATGCCTATGGACTATATCTTAGAGGTTTAAAGGGTCTATTTCGAGTGAAATTGTACACACTTCGAATTCAAGCCAGGAACAGTAGAAGGAAAATAAGTCAGCTATAGGTCCTTCGGCAGGAATCGAACCTACGCTTTTGCGATGCCGGTGCAATGCTCTTGCTACCTTGGTTTGAATTCGAAGTGTGTATAATTCTACTCGAGATTAAGACCCTTTAAACCTCTAGGATTTACCAACATCGAGTGAAGTGCCAAAAATCATAATCGATTTACCCTCACCTATGGACTATATATTTGATCTGGATTTAAGCGTAAACAAACCATAACAACAACCTAGTCACTAGACCACTCAAATCGTGGCTTAACATGATGTTGTTCTTCGCAGGATCGGCGTATGTTTAGGGCTTTTAACATGTGTATATATTTATATTCATTTGCTACATATTTTACGCACCTTCTCTGTGGGTATGCCATGATTTTTGATATAAACAAAACCAATAGTGCTAAATGCATCGTAAATTTCTTTCGCAAGATCGTTTATTTGAGTATTTGACTCGACGAAAGATGCACCATCGAAGGAATTGAAGCAAGAAAAATCGACAACGGGAATTTCCGCCATGATTAAAGTGTAATATTACAAGTTGCGAAAGAGAGGTATTGTAATAGTTAACTTTCATGTGGTGTAAGTTACACAACCATGACAGCATCTAGGGTGTGTAAATAAAAAATTGCAAAAAAATGACACTTAGACTTGATAATTATATGCAACTTATGGGCTATAGTTCAAGCCAGGAACAGTTGAGTTGTGTATGTACATTGAGTGGTGTATAATCGATTTCACTCGAAATTAATACCCTTTATAAAAACCTTTAAAATTTACCTACATGGAGTGAAGTGCCACAAAATCGTAATTGATTTATCCTTACCTATTCTCTGCATTTTTTTCAAGTGTTCATGGCTTGAATTGAGTTGAGTTGTGTATGCATGGACTGATCGACTCGAAATTAAGACTTTTTAAAAACCTTTAGAATTTACCATGCTTTGCAATATCACCATGCGTTGGTTATGAAGCCAAATATTTTGACATGGATAACCATGCACGCTGTTTAATGGTCAACTGCTTGTCCTATCAGTCTGAGTCTAGTGGCGAAGAAAATGGTCTCGTACCTTTCAGGTCGGTGATGAGAATGAGACGAATATATTTTCATTATGACTTTGAAAAGGATTTAGGTAAAAATAAATAAATGTAGGCTTTTACACCAAGCGCTGATGCTCTAGTAGATAATCCTTGAAATACTTTCTCTTTTTATGCTAATTAGAAATCTGCAGACATGCGTCGTGCATGTGCGTGTACTATCTTGAATTATCTACGTTTGTGATATGTGCACGTGGTTATACCGCACCGGTATGGTTCATTAAATCAATCAACAAAATTTTAAATGTTCTTTATTCACTCCATTTCTTACCTAAATCAACCTGTTTTAGCTTATAGTAAATGTAGTGGGTCAAAAAGGACACTTTACGGTTATTAAACATACTCACACGCTATTGGAAAACGATAAAAAGTCAAATTTAGAACAAAGAAAACCAGTGCAATCGCAGTGAACGAATAATAATCCCACAATCACCAGATAGAGTAATGTAATATATACTAAACCTTCGGCTTTTGGACTTTTGAGTCGCATCCACACACGTCAATCTATCGGTTCTGGCTCTCTTGTCCTGTTTCCAGGGAAGAGGCTCCTCATGCAAGTTTGACTTTGGCGTTCTAGTTTTTGGCTTCTCGTATGTCTTAAGCGAAAGGATTAAATTATGAAAGGAGTGTTTTCCAAAAAAGGTTTAAGTCAAATGCAAATACCGTTAAATATCCCAAGAGCAAACAGTCTAGGGGTGACGACAATGGTCTCGCAACTTGCGAATTGAAGGTTCGAATCCTGTATGGTGATATAGTGTTTTATCATGACGTAAAAGAAAAGATTTAGTTAAGTTAGAAAAACAGCTGTTGATCTCAAGATCTGTTGGCCCAGTGGTGAAGATATATCGTGCTAAATGTTGATTGTTTACCTCGTAAAACTAAAAGGGGTGATTTTGGATGTGATATATTGGAAGGGTATTCAGTCTGCCAAATATTGAAAACTACCTTACCATTAGAGCAAACGTGACAATATTTTTGTTAATTATATGTTAACACGGCTTAAGAGAAGTAGAGCTACTTAATATCTGTTGCCTTATATTGGAGCAAAATTTCAGCTATGAAATTAGTTGCGAATATTAAAACATTTTAATGAATCCACAATTTAAATACATTTTCCATTTGTGACCTGTGAAATCAGACTTGACTTCATTGACCGTAAACAATCACATCCTAACCATTAGCTTCACCTGGACCGCATACAGGGTGAGTGAGAAAAACTGACACCTTTGAAACTCAAATTAGCCGCAAACTTATGGCTGGAACTTGACAATTCCCATGACAGACCCATGTGTACAATCAACAGGACTTGGTTAATGTTTAAACCAATTGAACTAATTCAACGTGACGCGTGTGCTAGGAAAACGATTTGATAAAACTATTCCCTTTTATTTACAGAGCTTAGAATGCATTTTAACTCCCAAAGGGAACAAACTTCATGTTTTAGGTTAATTAATGGCTAATAACTAGCTTATGGTGACGTAATACTCGTTTGCTCAAGGGATTCCATACTTATATTTCAGTGATATTTTAGCGTCAACAGAAATTAAATGGTTAATATTAGGTTAAAGCTAAGAAAATGAGGTAGCTAAACTCATTGATAAAATAAACTCATTGAGATCATTAACTTATGTGCAATCCTTCGAAAAAAGGTTTAATAGAATAAAATAGTGTAATAATTCGCCACAAGTTCTGCTGATATAGTGGGGGAGGCAATGCCCTCCCGTGCTCCAAACCGGGGGTTCGAATCCTACCATAACCGTTTTTCATTATGAACTTCGTGAAAAGGATAAAGTAAATTGAATAACCATAGCCTTGGAGCCAAAAATCTTGTAATCTAATGCCGAAGACAATGGTCTCCCAGGTGGTAAATCGATGGTTCGAATCGTACCATAACTGTTTTTCATTATGAACTTCGTGAAAAGGTTAAAGTAAATCAAATAATCATAGCCGTTCAGCACATTATCTCGTAGTTTAGTGGTGAAGACAATGGTCTCCCAAGTGTTAAATCGATTGTTCGAATCTTACCATAACCGTTTTTTCATTATGAACTTCGTGAAAAAGATAAAGTATATTAAATAATCATAGCCGTTCAGCACATGATCTCGTAGTCTTGTGGTGAAGACAATGGTCTCCCAAGTGGTAAATCGGTCGTTCGAATCCTACCATAGCCGTCTTTCATTATGAACTTCTGGTGAAAAGGATAAAGTAAATTAAACAACCATAGCCGTTCAGACAAGATCTTGTAGTGTTGAGGTCAAGATGTTAATCTCATGCGTCGACAGTCAAAGGTTCGAATCTCGTTTTAGATGAATATTTTCGTTATTAATAAAACATGGTAAGGTTATGGTGACTAAATTGGTGTAAGCTTCCAACAATCACCAGTTAGCCTTGTGGTAATGTCGTGGACTATCAAGTACAAGATAGTGGTATCAAGAACGGTATGGTACGTATCTCATTGCGGTGGAAAGCAAAAAAAAAAAGAAAAAAACGATAGGTATGTTGCTCGGGGGAGGTTTGTATTCGGTTAATCTTTGCAAATCAAAGTTAATCTTTAGGGAAATCAGGGGATAGGTAGGGTGAATTGCATAGGGTATATTGAATAGGTAGGGTATATGAGTACAAAAAGACTTAGTAATTGGGCGGCCCGGGGCAAGGGGGCCTCGGCTCCCGGGGCAGGGGGAGGGTATAGGTGAGAAAACAATATATAAAATGTTTAAGTCTTTTTGTACTCATTTAAACCTCTTTACCCCTATTTATCCTCCTATTTACTCCTATCTATCCCTACTTTTTCTTATCCCCACATACCCCCAACTATCCCCTAACACAATTAAATGTTTGAAGAAAGCTTGCTTTGAAAGTCAGGAAAGCCGGGGGAAAGAGAACCCCCCTCAGTCTACTCCTCGCCCAAGGCGAGGGCATATTCGCCCTCTCGCACTACTCCTCTCACACTCACAAATTCTCACTTTATTACCTTGTTCTTTTTCGGTTTATCCAGGGCTTGAACCATCGACTGTATACTTGGTAGATCATCGACTTCACCACTACACCACCAGTTCTTGTGGTGAAAGCCTATAGTTTTTTATTTTACTTGATCCTTTTTGGAAGGATCTTTGATGAAATGGAAGAAAAAAAACATTCCCATCTGGGACTCGATCCTCCGCCTTTAAACTTCGAGAGCACTGCCTTTACCAGTAGACCGCACGATCTTGCGATGAAAGGCTGCACTTTTTTATATCACCGAATACCTTATGGGTAGGATCTCAAAGGAAATAACAATTTAAAGGAGTTCTTTTTAATGTTCATGATTTATTTTCTCATCAAAAACACGCACACAACTGTATTTTATTCGTAGCTTGTAACATCATAGTAGCCATTTGTGTTCTCGCTAAAATATCACATACAAGGTATAAAGTGCCTTAAAGCCCTATTGTTTCCATAAGTTAGTTATATGCGGCGCAAGTGAAGCTATTGGTTACGGTGCGATTGTTTTGTATTTTTAATGAAGTGAAGTCGAAGTAAAGTACAAGATTTAACAATGCATTTTAAAATAGGTTTAAAAGAAAAAAGTACAAGAAATAAGAATGTATTTCAATGTGTATAACACGTATAATCATGAGGCAACAAGCATGCACCTCGCACTCTCGTAAATTACATCTGAAATCGCAATTGAAGCAAATATCCAGTTAAGCAGATATTAACTATTTATCTCAAGACTTTGTTGTATAAAGAGTCGAAATCACTAGCTTGTCTAGCAGGTTCGTCGAATATAAAATACGCTAAGAAAAAAGATGTTCAGTTCAAAAGCGCAATTTTCGCAGTTAACATGCAAACAAACAAACAGCGGTTCAACAATATTACGGCAACGATTCATAATTATTCATTTAAAAGTCCTTCGAAGAAACGATTAAGTCAAATAGAGAACAATAGCTTATCGACAAACGATGTGGTCGTCAAGCAGTTGTTAAGACGTTGATCTCTTTTGTACAAAGGTTCAAATATTAGATTAGCGTATTTTATATTCGACAAACCTGCTAGCAATACAAGCTAGTGTTTCGACTATTTAGACAACAAAGTCTTGAAATAAATAGTCAATGTCTGTTTAACTGGATATTTGCGATTTCAGATGCCATTTCAGATGTGATGCTTGTTGCCTGATGACTATACTTTTAGCCGGATTCATATTAGAGACGGGAAACTCATCGAAGGTGGGGGACTCGTCTGATGTACGCATGTGAATCACACACGGGTTTCTCGTCCGAATTTTCCCGTCCGCTAAATTAAGAGACGGTTAAGTTGGACGGGAATCCCGTCTGCAAGAGAAACTCGTCTTAAACTCGCATTTAGAGGGATAAATCAGACGAGTTTCAGAAATACCAGCGCGGTCAAGGACGGAACAAAACTAATGAAAATAAACACAATTATTATCCTAATGATAACGCATTACCCAACCCATCATACGTATAGATTTTCCATACCCAATTCACATTCAGACGGGCTTTTACGGCT